CCGCGGACACCCCTGTAAAGGATCACCATTCCCAGTAGGAACAATTTTGGGGTTCATTAGAACCCTCACCAAAAGAATTCTGTGGCCTAAAAAAGCACTGTCCACGAACAGCCTACCTGGGCCCAGTCAAATAAGTTACATGTAGGATGTTTTACTTAATTCTTCCAGCCAAGTGGTCAAACCTCAACAGATCCCCAAACAAACCTTTGGAAGTGGGTCCCCACCTCCCCCTGGGTTGCCCCCTGCTGGTAAAACCTCAAAACTCCACTGTCCAGCAACCACCTATTTTAATGAATGGAATAGATTGCTAGATAGCCGGTGGGATGTCCAGATCTCAGCTTCTGCAAGGCCTAGCAAGCTGAAACCTGCGTTCCTGTTCTAGTCTGGGCATGCCCTGTCCATGCTGTGAATTTGAAGAAGATTGGAGAAAGTCGAAAATTTGACCCAAAAAATCTATAAGGGGTACCCCTTGGGGTTTTTTTTGGTCAAATTTTCAAGTTTTTCCAATCTTCTTCAAATTCGCACCCTAGACAGAGCGTGTCCAGACGAGCACAGAAATGCAGGTTTGGGCTCTCTACTGTGTCCAGAAGCTGAGATCTGGACATCCCAAAGACAATCTATCCCAATGTATGAAATAGGCTGTTCATGGGCAATGGAATTTCAACGTTTTGACACCTGGAAATGGCCCAGAGGGGCTTGCATATCCACCTCAATAGGTTTTTCGGCACTTTTTTGAGGTTTTCCAACTCTAGCAGATGGATCAGGAAAAAACATCCCACCTGTAGCTTATTTGAACAGGCCTAGGTAGGCTGGCTGTGGACACTCCTGTAAATGATCACCATTCACAGCAGGAACAATTTTGGAGTACATAAAGGGGAGCAGAGGGATCAGGAATCCTTGCCCAGCATTTTTTCCCCATCAGATCTCACCAAACAACTTCTGTGGCCTAAAAAGGCACTGTCCACAGAGAGCCTACCTGGGCCCAGTCAAATAAGTTACAGATGGGAAGTTTTACTTAATTCTTCCACCCAAGTGGTCAAACCTCAACAGATCCCCAAACAAACCTTTGGAGGTGGGTTCCCACCTTCCCCTGGGTTGCCCCCTGCTGGTAAAACCTCAAAACTCCACTGTCCAGCAACCACCTATTTTAATGAATGGAATAGATTGCTAGATTGCCGGTGGGATGTCCAGATCTCAGCTTCTACAAGGCCTAGCAAGCTGAAACCTGCGTTCCTGTTCTAGTCTGGGCATGCCCTGTCCATGCTGTGAATTTGAAGAAGATTGGAGAAAGTCAAAAATTTGACCCAAAAAATCTATAAGGGGTACCCCTTGGAGTTTTTTTGGGTCAAATTTTCAAGTTTTTCCAATCTTCTTCAAATTCGCACCCTAGACAGAGCGTGTCCAGACGAGCACAGAAACGCAGGTTTGGGCTCTCTACTGTGTTCAGAAGCTGAGATATGGACATCCCACAGACAATCTATCCCAATGTATGAAATAGGCTGTTCGTAGGCAATGGAATTTCAACGTTTCGACACCTGGAAATGGCCCAGAGGGGCTTGCATATCCACCTCAATAGGTTTCTTTGGCACTTTTTTGAGGTTTTGTGGCTCTAGCAGATGGATCAAGAAAAAGCATACCACCTGTAGCTTATTTGAACAGGCCTAGGTAGGCTGGCTGTGGAGACCCCTGGAAAAGATCACCATTCACAGCAGGAACGATTTTGGGGGTTCATAAGAAGGAGCAGAGGGGTCAGGAGGCCCCACCCAACAGTGTTTTGCATGTCAGGGCTCACCAAATGGCTTCTGTCTCCTAAAAAAGCACTGTCCACGAACAGCCTATCTGGGCCCAGTCAAATAAGTTACATGTAGGATGTTTTACTTAATTCTTCCACCCAAGTGGTCAAACCTCAACAGATCCCCAAACAAACCATTGGATGTAGATCCCCACCTCCCCCTGAGTTGCCCCCTGGTGTTAACACCTCAAAACTCCACTGTCCAGCAACCACCTATTTTAATGAATGGAATAGATTGCTAGATAGCCGGTGGGATGTCCATATCTCAGCTTCTACAAGGCCTAGCAAGCTGAAACCTGCGTTCCTGTTCTAGTCTGGGCATGCCCTGTCCATGCTGTGAATTTGAAGAAGATTGTAGAAAGTCGAAAATTTGACCCAAAAAATCTATAAGGGGTACCCCTTGGGGTTTTTTTTGGTCAAATTTTCAAGTTTTTCCAATCTTCTTCAAATTCGCACCCTAGACAGAGCATGTCCAGACTAGCACAGAAACGCAGATTTGGGCTCTCTACTGTGTCCAGAAGCTGAGATTTGGACATCCCAAAGACAATCTATCCCAATGTATGAAATAGGCTGTTCGTATGCAGTGGAATTTCAACGTTTTGACACCTGGAAATGGCCCAGAAGGGGCTTGCATATCCACCTCAATAGGTTTTTCGGCACCTTTTTTGAGGTTTTCCAGCTCTAGCAGATGGATTAAGAAAAAACATCCCACCTGTAGCTTATTTGAACAGGCCGAGGTAGGCTGTCCGTGGACATGCCTGTAAAGGGTCACCATTCCCAGTAGGAATGATTTTGGGGTTCATTAGGGGGAGTAGAGGGGTCAGGAGGCCGTGGGACTTCCAGCCGTTTGGCCCCTAAGGGACCGTTCGAGCCCTGACTTGAGGTTTCGCTACTCTGTGGGGACCGAGAACACTCCTCCGGCCTTTCTATGGCATCTTGGAAACACTTCCTGTGACCTGGCGGGCATGTCCAGGCGCATCCCGGGGCACGATGGTCACTTTGTGCACGATGATGAAAAATAGGTGTTTAGGGTCATTAAAGGCGGAATGAGGAAGAGGAAGGTGAAGAATAGGCAATCAGGGGGATCAGACGGGGGGTCCGGGAGTGACCCACAAAGAGCTTTGGCACCCCCGAAGTTCGCAGCCTAGAGGCGTTTTCAACAACTTACCAACGTTTTAGTAAAAGTGTCAAGTAGTCATTAGATTAAGTGGCTCGTGGAGTCCAAATATTGAGTACGATCCCTCGCACCAACTATGCCTCATCTGGCAACTTATTTCCATGTCAGAATTTCCTCGAACAGCCTAGTTTCCTTTATCAGGATAATGTTTTGATAAATCGTGTATCATATTGTGTCTAGTGCAGAGATGCCTAAACTAGGGCCTGCACACCGAAGTTGGCTCATGGTAACCTTTGATTTGGCCTCACCATCTAAACAGAAGAGATTTAGTATGATGGGAAGGTGGGGGAGATTGTCATTTATAATTTATAATTACCTTTTGTTTGTTTATTTAACTGTTGAGCTACAAAAAAGCCAACTGAAATGAAATGTTTCAATTAAATGTTGTGCATGAACCAGATGTTAAAAAATGTAAATACTGTCAATTGAAGATAGAGGACAATACACAAGGCGGTGCAGCTTGACTCGTACATTCAGGATTGAACATTATTGTGTGATAAATGTGCTTGTTAATGTTTTTATTGTAAGACGTCCATTATAAAATGTAATAAAGTATAATTTTTAATACAATTAAAGTGTTTTTTCTATTTATTTGTAAACATTAATACATTAGGAATTTACCCTTTCAGCTTTAATGGTGCTGTATATTTTCCTTCGGCCCACCACTCTCAATCAAGTTTGGTTTTTGACCCTTTATAGAGGTGCAGAATATATTGTGTAATTTCAATCAATTAATAGTTTATATGACAAAAATCTCATCATGGTACAAGTCATTTCATAAGCTGATAATAACTATATATCGCAATGATTTTTCAATATATTGTTTATTGTCTAGTGAAGGGGTGCCAAACTTTTTCGTATGAAGGGCCAAAAACCAAATATCATTGAGAGCTATAGGCCGAAGGTAAATATACCAAACTATATTACATTAAAGTTGCCATGAGTCATTTATTTCAGAATATTTCAAAATAAACAGAAAACATTTCTTTAAATTGCATTAACTAATGCAGTATAACTCTTTAAATTATAACGTGTTATAATTAAAAACATAAGCAATAACATTTAAAACACACTGGAGCTCAATACTAAAGACAAGCAGAATCTGCCTTTGACCTGATTTGCTCACCAAAGTCTCTGTGTTGTCAGGTGACAGGGTGTAAATTGATCAGATTTAGTGAAAATGTGCACAATTTTATTGAAACATTTCATTTCAGTTAGCTTTTACCAATAAAACAAACAAACAAAGGGTTACATTAAATTTGCATTGACAATCTCGAAACCATCCCCATCCTTCTCTTTGTCTTCTCAGATTGGATGTTGGCCAAATCAAACGTTAGCATGGGCCAGCTTTGGCCCCCGAGCCCTAATTTGGGCATCTCTGGTGTAGTGGGTGCAAGACACTAGAGATGCACAATAAAAAAACTGAAGTATAAACTCATAAATCTGCTTATTCATATGTGATTATATTTATTTAGTATACTTACACACTACAATTGCGTATACTTGTTAATACACATTCATCTTCACGGCAAATGTTTGATTCCAAATGTAGAAATGTATTTGAATAATGCCTTCAGTGTCACACTTTACAATAAGCTTTCATAAGTTAAGTGTATTTACTATCATGAACTAATAAGGAGTCCCTCTAAAGCATTTATTAATGATCAACGTTCAACATTTTAATGCATTAATCAAATCAAAATTTATGCTTGTTCATTTGAGTAAATGCATAATGAACATATATATTTATTAACTAACATGAACACACACACACACTAAGAAATGCTGGCTTATTTAAACCCAAATTTGGATAAAATATGGACTAACCCAAACACTGGGTTAAATTTAGTCATGTTCATTTAATAAAAAGAAATTAACCCAATTAAGAATTGTGTTGGAATAACCCTGCATTTTTAAAGTGCATAAGCAAATACTGTAATAAATGTCTTGATGATTGTTTGTTCACTTTAGTAAATGCATTAATTAATACAACCTTATGTGTGTGCATGTATAAATGGGTAGAATATACACCTGTAGGCCGCGGTGTTGTAGATTCGACAGGCTCCTCTTCCACCACACTTCTTGTGTCCCCATTTCAGACAGGTGGTGTCGATGATGGCCCCGAAATATATCGGAGCTGGAATCCCTGCTGTGGAAGACCAACAAACAAACAAAAGCCCACCGTAACCCAGTGTGTCTTGATGATAAATGACAGTCGGTGTGTTTGAGCAGCGTCTCTCACCCAGAGTACGTGTGGTCAGAGTGTGAAAACCCAACGCTAGAGACTTCAGCTGAGGTTTGATGCATCTGTGGAGAAGAGCACGACAACATCAGCTAGTGAAAGAAGATATATATTTATTTATTTTCCATATATGAAGACAGCAATGCAATGGCTAATTTTTTTATTGTAAATAAATTGTATACAGATTGTGAATGCACTGAGGATTCACCTAACCTAACCACCACTAACACCAGCAGGAGTTTCCATCAGATCAGTCCAGCATTACTGAGAGTGTTTTACCCACAGTAACCCGGTGTTTTCAGACTGGACAGGATTTGTTCTTTGCTGTGTTTCTGCTAACCTAATTTAGCCGGAGGAGCTGAGCATTCCAGCGGCGTCAGCTGACTGAGCTTTGAGGAGCACTGCTAAAGCGCTTTATTTATTACAGCACTGAGCGGAAACCTGTCTCAACTCATTTCACATTCAAGCCACTGACTCTGATGACTGTAAGACAAAGAGTAACAGGGAGAAAATCACATCACACCCGCTTTACATCTGCCTCAGCACGGTCCAACTCATGACTGGACCACAATCTGCAGTGTTTATATGGCGGAAATACAGTATATTAATAATCATTCAGCAAATGGACACACTTATTAGACCAGGATAATGTTTAAATGGACAGCTCACACCAAAAACAAAATAAAAGTCCTCAGGTGGGAATAAATGTTTATGAGTTTCTTTCTTCTGTTGAACACCAAAGGAGATGTTTAGACAAATGCTGAAAGCCTGTAACTATTGACTGCCATAGTAGCAAAAAGTATAGTAACAGTAGTAACATATACCATAGAAACAAAATACTATAGAAGTCAATGGTTACAGGTTTTCAGCATTCAAAGCATACATTAAACAATACACAAAACTAACACCTGTGACTCCTGATGATACACTTATGTCTAATGATGCCAAATGATCAGTCTGTAATAAACACTGTTCAAGCATATTTATATTATGGATAATATATATGCATGATTAACTGCATACTATAATATATATGTGTGTATTATATATAATATATGTGTGTATATTATTCCTCCGGGTGCTCCGGTTTCCCCCACAGTCCAAACAAATGCGCTATAGGGGAATTGGATGAACTAAATTAGCTCTAGTGTCTGTGTGAATGAGTGTGTCTGGATGTTTGTCAGTTCTGGGTTGCAGCTGGAAGGGCATCCGCTGTGTAAAACATGTGCCAGAATAGTTGGTGGTTCATTCAGCTGTGGCGACACCTGATAAATATGCCGGAAAATGAATGAATTAGTAAACAATGCTTTGTGTATTATATGTATTTCTTATGTATAAGTGATGCACAAACACATAGATAGGAACAAAACTACACAAAATTTATTATTTAATATTAAAACTTAATATTTTGTTGCATAGATAATTACTGTATATATAATTCTTACCAAAATATAAAGTTTTTCTCAAATATATGCATGCACGTGTGTATTTATATATACACAATGAATATACACAGTACACGCATATATTACGCCAACACAAACTTTTATTTTGGATGCCATTGTGTTTAATCTGTGCCCAGCACTATAAACAATCGTTATTTTCTAGCTGGACTGATCATTTCACTTCATATGTATCATTCGAAATCAGAGTATTAATTTTGTGTGTCCTGAATGTGTTTTAATTCACAAAAGTGACACCTGAGCATGAGTAAATTACCTGCATATTTTGATTTTCAGGTCAACAATTGCTTTAAGACACTAAAAACACGACTAGAACTACAATAACTAAGACATCTAATACTGTGATTTTAAAAATGTCTGTTTATTTACATCTGTAAATGCCTTTGTTGACTCTCAAAGTGCTTGTAGACATTGCAAAGGATTAAATGAATCAGAAAAACCCAGTCTCAGCTAAAAAATCTACTTATAAACTTATAATTGAGTGTATGGATTATGCATTGAGTGTAATATGCATTGGATTATTGGAAAAATGGGACCTTGCGATTTTTTTTATATAATTATTGTGATATACAGTGCTTGGCGTTATTGACTTCTGCATTTCTCAGTGAATATAGGCAGTGTATGTTGGTGCATTTAAACAAAGCAGATTCATTAAACAGATATATTTATTAAAATACTGTTTTAGTCACAGAACATCTTTATAAATTGAAAGATACAACAATTAAATTCTAGCAAAATATTGCAAAAGTATCTTAAAATCTACACAATATCAACTAAAGTTTTCCATGTTTTGCTTCTCTTGATTTTCCTCTTTTTTAAATGTATTTAATATTTTTCTATAACATATAAATGTGGCTGTGCTAGTTTTTAAAACGTTATATTGTTAGATAAGCTCCAGTTTTGGCTTCAGTACTGACTAATGTAATGTATATGCACAACTATAATATCGTAGAGCTTCCTATAAACAATACGAGTTTAAAAGAGAGACTTGTGAGGGGTGCACTTATATATGCTGAGCACTGTATATATACACAATTTCACCAGACGCTATTTGGAAAGAACTCATTAATGCAGAGTGATTGGGATGATTCTGTAGGGAAGTGAATCATGAATAAAATGTAATAAATTACAAGCAGATACAAAGAAAGCAAAAATAAGAGTGAAATAAGGAATGTTTTGTGGTTTGCAAATATCTTGTGCTTCAATCATTTGGGCATTAAACACATATTCAAATTCTAAACCTTTACTCCATGATCATTAAGCTGTGCAATAAGCTCTGTTTCTCCTGGTAAACTATAATCCTCATTGCACTATTGCTGGATGTGCACATTGCCATATCGATGCTGAAACCATATATTGTGCAGCCCTATCAGACACTGACCTGATGAGCAGCATGTATCCTGGCGTTCCTCCTAGTGATATAATGAAGGAAGTGATGACGGACAGAGCCAGGAAGTACGGGAAAATGCGATGGCAGCTTTCTCTGTTGTTGCATTGGCCTGCGGTGGCTGTCTGATTCCCCACTCCTATACAACTGCACTGCTCAAACACCTGCAACACACACAAGAACACGCTTTTAAAATCATCTATCAAGCTATATTAGGGGCGTCACGGTGGCTTAGTGGTTGGCACTGTCCCCTCACAGCAAGGAGGCTGCTGGTTTGAGTCCCGGCTGGATCAGTTGGCATTTCTGTGTGGAGTTTGCATGTTCTCCCCCGTGTTGGTGTGGGTTTCCCCCAAAGTCCAAACACATGCGCGAATTGATGACCTAAACTGACCATAGTGTATGGGTGTGTGTGTGAATGAGTGTGTGCTGGGTTGCAGCTGGAAGGGCATTCGCTGTGAAAACATATGCTAGATAAGTTGGCGGTTCATTCCACTGTGGCGACCCCTGATTAATAAAGGGACTAAGCCGAAAAGAAAATGAATGAATGAAATCATCTAATCCTGTGATGTGACTATTGCGGATGCACACACTGCGATATCCATGCTCAAACCATATATTGTTCAGCCCTAGTGTGCTCTGTGTTTGACCCGTGGTTCAGTCTGAAGTTACGCCACTCTTTTGTTTAGTAGCAGGTCAGAGACGCAGCACATAACAGATGCTGGAGATATGAAACACACACACACACACAGAGGATGAGAAGCGGAAACCAGCGTCTGCGCATTAAAATACCTCAGCCTTTCAGATGCACTGAAACACACGCAAAAATAAAACCTGCTCTCCTCAAAGACAGACGGGGAAGGAAGTTTCAGAGAAGCCCAAAAATTCAAGCTGGCCTTTGAGCTGCAGACAAACAGGTAGTGCACACACCCTTCAGGGAGCGCTGGGAAAAAGCCCAGTTCAAGAGCACCACATTGTGTCTTTGAAGAAAAAAGGACAACAAACACACACACCATTGTTTCAGGATCACGCTCACCGTGTCCATTCCTGAGCCGTGGGACGTCCGGCATCCAGCCAGGCACGGGGACACGTAGGTGAGGCCGTCTTCTCCGCACACCGGGTCCCAGTTTTTTTCAGGACAATGACAGGCTGCGTTGCAGGACGCTCGCAGAGAGCCGTCCGCCATAAACAGACTCTCCGTCCTGATGGACACACAAGCATTAGCGAAGCAATTATTAATTTTTCCTCTAATGCCTATCAGCAGCATTGGCGATATTCACAGCAAAACCTATGCTAAATATACAGCCCTGCTGAAAAATCCAGCTTAAACCAGCCTAGGCTGGTTGGCTGGTTTTAGCTGGTTGACCAGCCTGGTTTTAGAGGGCTTTTTGGCCATTTCCAGGCTGGTTTCCAGCCATTTCCAGCCTGGTCTTAGCTGGTCAGGCTGGAAAATGACCATCTAAAACCAGTTAAAACCAGCTTGACCAGCCTGGTTTAAGCTGGATTTAGCTGGTTTTGGCTGGACTCCCAGCTTGGCTAGGCTGGTCAAGCTGGTTTTAGCTGGTCATCTCCCAGCTAAGACCAGGCTGGAAATGGCTGGAAACCAGCCTGGAAGTGGCCAAAACCCCTCTAAAACCAGCCTGGTCGACCAGCTAAAACCAGTCAACGAGCCTAGGCTGGTTTAGGCTGGATTTTTCAGCAGGGAGGGTGTGCCATTTATATGGATACCCCTAATAAAATGGGAATGGTTGGTGATATTAATGTCCTGTTTGTGGCACATTAGTATATGTGAGGGGCAAACTTTTCAAGATGGGTGACTTTTGAAGTCGGCCATCTTGGATCCAATTGTCTATGGTGTGAAGATACAAGATGTGCAGCACCTGAAACTACGCATACTGGAAGTCTGTGCTGGCATTTCTCCTGCGGTGTTGCTATCAGTGTGTGAAGAGTGGGAGAAGAGGGTTGCATTGACAATCCAACACAATGGGCAGCACATTAAACACATTTTATAAGTGGTCAGAAACTTGTAAATAACTCATGAAAGAACAAAGTTATGTTAAAACCAAGAGCACCATTGTTTTTCTTGTAAAAGTCCCAGTATGTTTGATGTGTCAAATGACCCTCTTCCTATTGAAAAAAAAAAGTTGGATCCAAGATGTCCGACTTTAAAAATGGCCACCATGGTCACCACCCATCTTGAAAAGTTTGCCCCCACAAGCAGACATAATATCATCAACCATTCCCATTCTAATAATGTGCATCCATATTAATATCCCACCCTGTAGAATATATAACATGCATTGATATCGGTTTCTTAAAACTCATTCACTACAGAAAGCATACAAATAACAACAACAACAGTCATCTACAATCTTTTACTATGATTAATGATAAATATTTTAAAATTCCTCCTTTTGAAACAATCCCCTTAAAGTATTTCCTGAATTAAAAATGTTCTCTGATTTCATTTAAAATACGCATATATTTCATCATCAAAATACTCTTACACACACTGTAAAAAATGCAGGGGTCCACACAACTCCTTCATGGTGACCCAACACACATTACTCAACACTTTTAACAAATTTATGTGGGTTGAACATAAAGGAAATCTCAAGGATTGAGTTGTTTTAGCTGATTTTACATCCTTGATAAACTCTCCGACTTGCACTGCTCTCTGGAGCTACGAGCACATGGCAGCGCGCGTGTGTGTGTGTGTTGCTGTGTGGCTGTGTGTGTGTGTGTTGCTGTGTGTGTGCGTATGGCTGTGTAGTCAGGTGATGTGCGTTTTCAGTGGTCGGAGGGCTGTTCAGAAATGCTAGGTAAAACACAGTTTTCGTTCTAAAATGCCATTTTTTTCATGAGTATTTATTTATTGCAGAACAAAACCAGCAGTATTTTTTAGTTCAATAAGCCACATTTTACCCGCTGGGAATAAGGGTTCATGCCATATTTTAAATATAACCTTCTTGGCTGCAGTTAGTGCAGTATGAAATATCCTGCGTTGGGAAGTGTTTAGGTTTAGATCATAATCATCATTCAATAGACAAATATTAGGGTATTTGGGAATGAACATCTCACACAATTCTGAAATAGTTTGAAATACCTTATCCCAAAATGTACTGATAAGTGGACATTCAAAAAACTAAAATGCCATTTTAATACTAAGACGTATTAGTTTAAACGGGGCCTGAGTGTGTATTTTTCGCGAGCGGGTTTTTGACGGGGGCAGGGCGGAGGATCGTCGATGCCGGCTCAGCATCGTGTTGTCTATTAGCCATCGGCGATGGACGAGTCCATAGTGCACCAGAGCCCGAAACTGAAGACACAACGCCACTTTAGAGCACTCACACTTGTCAAATAAACCAGGAAATGCCCCCGGACATGGTTTAGATGGCCTAGTGTGAGTACACCCCTAATGCATTGCATAAATATTTGGAAAATGACAATGAAAAAAAGTCATAAGCTGAACTAATCAAACTATTTAAACTGCAATAAGTGCTAAATGGACGGTCACTGTGAAACATGCTGGGTTCAAAACACAATTTATAGATGTTTTTAAAACACAAATTGATAAAGCTAACTTAATTGTGTTAAAAATTTTAAGTTGATTGAACATAAAACAATTAAGTTAATTAATCTTGAGTACTGTGTTGATTTAGCTCATTATGAATATTAGTTTATGAATAAGTAGTTTGAACAAGCAGCATTTGTTTGAGTGTAGGATGTGGCAAGAGCAGGTAAACTAGCACACATTCACACCATACAGTATTTATCCAGCTGACCCCGGGTCAGAAGCAAACTGAAGCTTTTATCGTACCCGTTGTAGGACATGGTGATTCCAGCCACGCTGGCGTTTTCACAGCCCATGCTGAAGAAGAAGAGAGACAGAAAATAGCCCAGCAGAGACGTTCCCAACGCAAACTTGGCTGCTCCCATGATGCTCAGCTTGAACTTCTTCATGATCACGCCGCCCGAAAACATTCCCAAGGCTACGGCTGGGATGTTGATAACTCCTGAAAAAACAGACGGCATCAGGAAAACCCGGATCAAAGCAGCAACAAAGGCTCAGGAATACAAAACAGGCCTATTTGTTTTCCCTCCGGTCTGATTTCCAAAAACCCTGATGCCGTTTCCACAAATGCACACAATGCATACGTTGTCTGCTGATATTATTGTTGGATTTCTTTCCCTTTCATATGCGGTCATCGTTTATGTCACACTGTGATTTAACCCAGTGTGCAAACCTCCAGATTTGATATCAAAACCCTAGACTAATATTTAGCACACATTAATAAAATCCCTGTGATCCAATGAAAACATGACACCGCATTAAACCCTGCACTGTGAACTCTGATACATCACATGTTGGATTACAGCAGAAAAAAAGACACTTGATAAGATCCAAGACCTGTCAAACACACACACTTAATGCAACATTACACTTCACTGAACATGTCCACATAGACATCACCTATATACTGTATAACTGCAGGTTAACTATGCTTATACACTCTAAAAATGGTTGAGTTCAAAATATTTGGTGCATTGTTGGGTTACATTCAACCTTTATTGGGTTATTTATTAATAACTCAACCAGTTAGATTAAATATTTGGTGCTTTGGTGGGTTATTCTTAACCTATATTTGGTTATTTATTAATAACTCAACCAGTTAGATTAAATATTTGGTGCTTTGATGGGTTATTCTTAAACCTTTATTATGTTATTTATTAATAACTCAACCAGTTAGATTAAAAATTTGGTGCTTTGTTGGGTTATTTTTAACCTTTATTATGTTATTTATCAATAACTCAACCAATTAGATTAAATATTTGGTGCTTTGTTGGGCTATTTTTAACCTTTATTGGGTTATTTATTAATAACTCAACCAGTTAGATTAAATATTTGGTGCTTTGTTGGGTTATTTTTAACCTTTATTATGATATTTATTAATAACTCAACCAGTTAGGGTAAATACTTGGTGCTTTCTTGGGTTATTCTTTGGTGAGTGCTGTCTAACAGGTTAGGGGGGCTATTAAGGCTATTAATATTGAAAAAAAAATTTAAAAACTGCTTTTATTCTAGCCAAAATAAAGCAAATCAGACTTTATCCAAAAGAAAAAACATTGTAGGCAATACAGTAAATAATTCCAGAATCATTTGGGAAATATTTATTAATAATAATTCACAGGAGGGTGAATAATTCTGACTTTAACTATATATAATAACTGTTAAAAGCTATTAGTCACTAATTAATTAATTAAAGCTATTAGTAATGATTTTAATTGTAATGCAATAATGTGCATCTTTTGTAAAGCTACTTGAAATAATAATTATGTTGAAAAGCGCTATAGAAATAAACTTGAGTTGAATTGACAAGTGTGTGTTTGAAAGAGGAGGACGAACCCATGAGGAAGTTGGCTTTGGATGCGGACTGTCCGTAATGCTGCTCGATGTATTTTGGTTTATATGTGACCATGCCGATCAGTGAGTTGAACTGGATGATGGTCACGCACAGATACAGAAAGTAGACCGGGTTTCCCAGGAGAGACCTCAGTGTGGGCAAAAAGTCTGGAAATAACAAAAGCAGAGCGTGTTACACATTCAGGTCAGTGTAGATTTCTTTTAATTTCAATAATGCATAGTTTGTAGTAATAAACTGTGTACACAGCACTTGTATATCTCTAACAAATCTGTACATACAATTCAACTATCTACAATTCAATTCATCTATCTATCTATCTATCTATCTATCTATCTATCTATCTATCTATCTATCTATCTATCTATCTATCTATCTATCTATCTATCCATCCATCCATCCATCCATCCATCTATCATCCATCCATCCATCCATCCATCCATCCATCCATCCATCCATCCATCCATCCATCCATCCATCTATCTATCTATCTATCTATCTATCTATCTATCTATCTATCTATCTATAATCCATCCATCCATCCATCCATCCATCCATCCATCCATCCATCCATCCATCCATCCATCCATCCATCCATCCATCCATCCATCCATCCATCCATCCATCCATCCATCCATCCATCTATCTATCTATCTATCTATCTATCTATCTATCTATCTATCTATCTATCTATCTATCTATCTATCTATCATTTTATGCTGTGTAAAAACATTGCTTTGTTTCTTACGCACTTGTGTAATCATTTCACTGCAAAAATGTGTTTTTTAAACAGGTATTTGTGTCTTGTTGTGTCTTGTTTTCCCACAGAATATCCACACATACATAAATCATATAAGTTTCCTTGGGAAGCAAAAAGACATATAGATATACGTGCATAAAAAGTCTTTTTGTTTCTCAAGTAAATGCATCTGATATATAAAATCTTCATTTTTAACTTCCTAAAAAATAACACCCAGTGTAAAGGTTGATATATTATTGCTACAGTTGTAATGACATTATAATGACCTCGATGTCAGAAATCTGAACTCTTTACTCTTCCAGTGAACTTGAGGCGCTTTACCTTTGGCCATTTCCAGGAAGTTAGCCGGCTCGTCTGCCTGGTATTTGTGCTCCAGCAGAGCCGAGTCTTTGATGAAGCTGTTGCGCTCCGGAGAGTATTTGCTCAGTCTTCTCTCTGGCAGTGGCAAAGACTTGGGCAGGAACCAGAAGGGCACGGCTGAAAGCAGGGTAATGAATCCGGCAATCAGGTAGCCTAGCCACCAGGCGCCGACCCAGCGCGCGTCTCCTGGAGTGATGCTGATGCTCTCTGGGAGGACAGAAAAACACAGTATAAATTAATAATAATTAATAATAAATAATGAATTAATTAAAAAATAAAGTAAATACAATTAAAAAAAATTATCAAATTATTTAATTTTATTATTTTAATTATTTAATTATATTATTAAATTAAATTAATTAAAAATTATAAAAAATCTTTTTTAATAAAATAATAAATTAATTAAATGAAACAAAGTAAATGAAGTTTAACATTTTTTATTTAATATAAATAAAAAATTAAATAAAATAAAAAACAATAAAATGTAATTAAATAAAATAAAATAATAAAATAAAATTTAAATAATAATAAAACAATATAAATAAAATGAAAACAAAACAAAACAAAACAAAATAAAACAAAATAAAAATAAAATAAAACAAAACAATAAAATAAAATAAAAATAAATTAATAAAACAAAACAAAATAATAAAATAAAATTAAAATTTAAAGAATAAAATAAAATAAAATAAAAAACAAAACAAACAAAAAAGACCAGCGTATATATGTGTATATATGTGTGTGCATAAAAATTACACATACTTAACAATAAGGTTAATGTTAGTTAGTATTTTAATGTGTACAGCATTTATTAACCATAGTTCAACATTTACTAATGCATTACTAAAACCTAAAGTGCTTGTTAACGTAAGTCAATGCACTGTGAGTTAACATGAACTAACAATCAACAACCTTTTCCCTTTAATTAGCACTAACATCAATAAATACCGTAATGCATTGCTCAGTATTTATGCTAAGGCTAGTTAAAATGATTGTACCTTTAATTTAGTTTTTTTCTTGGCACTAACAATGACTATACAGACCTTTACATTTGTGTTATTTCTTAAAATACCAAATGTTATTTGAACCATTAAAGTGAATGATTTACCTGCTTTTAATGCACTTTCTCTGCATATAAAATGATTTTAGTAAATGCAATATAATGCAGACACCATTCTACAACACAGACTGACTAGTTCTTATGGTCTAGAAATCTCTGTATAAGCAGAATCTATGCTCATGATACAGATGATGCTGTCTTTGCTTTGTTTTAATGGCTCATTTAACAAAACTAATGGTGAAACTATGCATTGAGTTATGCGATATAGTTTTTATTGGCTGAAACTTGTATACATAATATCTCAGGGCTTTAGGGCGTAACGTAACGCTGTATTACCCATAAAGCAATGGCCTGTGTCTGCAGCACGCCTTAATTCACATACAAACCTAAACTTTGCCTAAGCCAAAAAACATTCTGGAGGCAATCGGTTTTATACATCATTATCTGGACGCACACATCTAATATTAATGCAGCGCAATTTAAGCGTATTACATATTTCAGCTTATGTTCACCTCTCGGTCTCTTTTTTGGGTGTGCGTCTCATCTGAAACAGCTGTTGGATAAACCACAGCTTAATATTTATGAAGCTTTACATCGTGCGCAGTCAACTAAAGAGTGCATATGAATGCCAAAAACACACTCAGATCCAACATAAACAGCCTCCGCAGCTTTCAAACAAAAAGCAACAGGGTTTCTGATTTCCCCCTGCTTTTGTTCTGAATGCAAACACAATATGAATAATGGCTGGATTTCCTCCAGAGTCCGTCAGTTTTACTATTAAGCACTCCTTTAAAAGCCTTTTCGTATTTATGAATCCCAAATGAGTCAAAATACACTCAAATGAACAGAATAATATGCTTCTCTCTGTCTCTCTGTTCAAGCTAATTGAGTCCCACACAGTGTAAAAAGAACCCATACATTTGACATAAACAGATTAGTGCAGTCGATTCTACATAGACGATATTAAAACAATTAAACTAGCACAAACATTTAGTTGTATATGAAATAAAACAACAGTAAACAGAGTAATAGGGTGATTCTAGAACAAATGTGCATATTTAAGATAATATTTTAATTGTTTTCCTAGAAATAAAAACATTAATGAAAATGTTTTGACTATTATCACAATTTATATCACTTAAAATAATCTTTGTATGCATGTTTAGGGACATTTTTGTCTTGAAATATTCACTTTAAGACTCCCATTGTACCGATTGTTGGCTTTCTCTGCCTGAATTATGCTTTTAGTTTCAATTATCTAGTCTAATAAGTCTAATCTTCTTCATCTGTTTCCTTTACTAAGTTCAATGAACATTTGCATGACATATCTATTTTCTGTATTATTTGTAATTTCAGTAATGTAATGTGTATTTATATAGCGCATTTATTGTGTATGGCCATACACCCGAAGCGCTTCACAATTATGAGACGGGTCTCTCCACATAACCACCAGTGTGCAGCATCCACTTGGATGATGCGACGGCAGCCACAGGACAACGGCGCCAGTGCGCTCACCACACACCAGCTATTGGTGGAGTGAAGAGACGGTGAAAGAGCCAATTTGGTGGATGGGGATAATTGGGAGGCCATGATCGAGAGGTCCGATAGAGGGACTTTGGCCAGGACACCGAGGTTACACCCCTGCTCTTTACAAGAAGTGCCATGGGATTTTTTAATGACCACAGAGAGTCTGGACCACGGTTTAACGTCTCATCCGAAAGATGGCGCCCACTGACAGTGTAGTGTCCCCTTCACATTTACCAGGGCATTAGGACTAGGATTGAGCGCCCCCTGCTGGCCTCTCTAACATAACTTAGCAACCTAGTGTTCCCAAGTGGTCTCCCATTCAGGTACTGACCAGGCAGTAATAATGAAACACATTTTGTGTCTGTCTATGTCAAGGGTGTCCAAGCTCAGTCCTAGAGGACCGGTGTCCTGCAGATTTTAGTTCCAACCCCGATTAAACACACCTGAACCAGCTAATCAAGCTCTTTCTAGGTACACTAGAAACTTTCAGGGAGGCGTGTTGAACGGAGTTGGAGCTAAACTATGCATGGCCATGACCGTGCTCTAGTTTAATTTTATATACTAAAATTTTCTTCTCGGTTGAAAATCATTTGAGAAATGTTTGCAACAGAATTATTATTGCACAGAAGGGAAAATAATTTTCCTCTTAACTGTAAATGTGACAATTATCTAAGGGAATAACCGTGAAGTAGCACTGGTGCAGTTCAAGCTTAATGTCTCTGAACTCAGTGACTCTTGTAGGGAACGCTGCTGTGCTTCACTCACCCATGTTGACAAACCCAATGTCCACGTATATCTTGGCACAGACGGAGCCCAGCAGATACCCGAAAACCGGCCCGATGACGGAGATAGTCTGGACACATCCTGAAGCAGACGGGACAGAAATCGATTATTAGCGGACTCGAGTCTGTGCCGCTTACCAAGAAAAACAAAGCTCTCTAGCAAGAACAATCAATACAGGCCAAAGCAGTTCCACATCACACTAAATCACATCTTCATCATGCATTACTGTCATGCCTTCAGAAGATTAGAGCTAGCATTGAAAAATAAGTTTGAGATCTGTTAAATATCATAAATAGCCATATTTATGGATAATGGATATGATATTGCTACATAATACACATGTTGGATGTAAAATTATAGACTTATAATTATGCATTTAATCATCCAACGTGATTTACAATAGTAATATCTGTCTGAAAGCCTTTAGTATGTTTTAAAAAAAAGATTACACTGGCTAACAAGCTAGGAAGCTAAGTAGATATAAAATAAGTGCAGCAACATAAGTAGATATGGATATTCATGCATATAGAAATAATAATGCTACATAATACACACCGTGGATGTACAATTCATGTCTAAGTAGACTTATAGTTATGCATTTTGTTATCCAAAGTGATTTACAAAAGTAATATATGTCTGAAAGCCATTAAAAGCCGGCTAACAAGCTAGAAAGCTAACTAAATATTAAGTGCAGCTACATAAATATATATATATATATATATATATATATATATATATATATATATATATATATATATATATATATATATATATATATATATATATATATATATATATATATATATTAATACAATAATGCTACATAATACACACTGGGGATGTACAGTTCATGTCTAATTAGAGTTATAGTTGTGCATTTTGTTATCCAACGTGATTTACAAGTGTGGGACAAACTAATATCAGTCTAAAAGCCATTAACATTTGTTAAGAAAAATGATTACACTGGCTGACAAGCTAGAAAGCGAACTAAATATTAAATAAGTACAGCTACCTATGTGGATGTATAAGCAAAACAGATTTAGCTAAAGAAACTTTGCTGCTTGACTGCAATGTTTAAAGCAGTTACAGCATGATTTATCAAACTGCTAGCATATTTTAACATGTTTCTAGCGCAGTTTAGAAAGTAATGTGTATGTATATAGTGCATTTATAGTTATTTTAACAGGATACTTAAAGCCTTTAACACATTTCTGACATGTTTGTAAGCATGCAGGTTAGCAAATTCTAACATGCAAACATGAGCTAATATTTTGCAATCATGTTTCTGACTAGATGCTAGCATGTTTTTAGGTGTGTATGTGATGCTAGCATGTTTTAACAAGGTGTCAGAGTGTGCTATGATGTTTCCATAAGTTTACTTTTTAACATGTTGTAAATGTTTCTAGCATGCTAACCAATGTAGAAAGCTGCGTTCTCCTCCAGAGCGTGATCATCGATGTAGGAGATTCCCAGCGGCTGCACTGGAGTCTCTCCAATCCCACGCAGGATATTCCCCAGAAACACATAAATCCACATCGACAACCGAGACTCGTGTTCACAGCCTGAGGAGGAAGAGGAAAGAGCGGGAAGAGGAAGAAGAAGAGAAGGAAGATACAATTAGGAAGAGGAAAGAGGAAAAGGGATATGGGAATGGAGGGAGAAGAAAGAGGAAGCAGGAAGAGAAATAAGGAGAAGCGGAAGAAGAAAAGACAAAGAAAAAAGAAGAACACATAAATGAAGAAGAAGAGGAGGAGGAGGAAGAACAGAAAGAGAAAGAAAAATTAAGAGAAAAAAAAAGAAAAAATATAAGAAGAGCAGGAAAAAGAAAAGGAAGAAGATGGAAAACGGGAAAAGATAAAGAAAGAGAAGAGGAGGAGGAGGAGAAAAAAAGAGGATGAAGAAGGACAAAAGAGAAAGAAAAAGAAAAAGGAAGAGGAAGGAAAAGAAAGAAAAAAGGGAGGGGAAGAAAAAAACAAAGATAGAGAAGACGTGGGGAAAGAAAAGGAAAAAGAGAAAGAGAGGAAGAGGAAGGTGAAAAAAGAAGTGAAAGAAGAAGAAAATTAAAAGAAGAAGAAAAAGAGGGAAGAAGACAAAGATAAAGAAGAAGAGGAGAAAAAGAGAAAGGAGGATTAGAAAGAAAAAATAAGAGGAAGGAGGAGAAAAAAAATAAGAAGAAGAGGAGGAAGAAGAAAAAGAGCAATGAATAGGATGAGGAGAAAGAGGAAGGAGGGATAAGTGGAAGAAGAAGAAGGAAAAAGCAAAAGGACGAGGAAAAAGACAGAAAGAAAGAGAAGACAAAAATAAAGAAGAGGATGGGGAAAAGGAAAGAGCAAAAGGAGGAAGAGGACGAAGATATAAAAGGAAGAAAAGGGAGAAGAGGAAGGAGAAAAAAAGAAGAGGAAGACGGCAGAAAAAAGGAGAAGACAATTAAAAGAAGAAGAGGAAAAGGAGGAGGAGGAAGAAGAATAAATAAGAAGAAAAGGAAAAAGAAAAGGAAGAGGAAGAAGAAGATGAAAAGGAGAGGAAGAAGAAAAAATAAGAGGAAAAGGAAAAGGAAGAAAAGGGAGTAGAAGAAGAAGAGGAGGAAGGGGCAGAGGAAGAAGACAAGCATACATGACTGCAATATAAAATGACCATTTACATCACATTAACTAAGTGTCTATATAAGTGTTTGTGTAAATGTGAGTTCCTGAAAGGATTCTTCGCTAGTTTGTCCAGAGGGACTCTTTGTGTTCGTACCTGTGCTGGGCACTGAAGATGTGCTGGGTTCAGCAGAGCTCAGTGAACACGGAGAGAGGCTGCTGCTGGAGTTTACAGACAAGCGGATCGACGTCTCAAACTTATATCTGCAACAAAACATCCACAATTCAACACTGGACATCAAACATAACAGTTTAATAACTCATTTATAATAACTGGTTCCTTTTATCTTTGCCATGATACTTGACTAGATATTCTTCAAGACACTAGTATTCAGCTTAAAGTGTTTAAAGTGTTAAAGTGATTAAAGCTTTAAAGGCTAAACTAGGTTAATTAGGGTAAAGTTAGAGTGATTAGGCTAGTCATAGTATAACAGTGGTGTGTTCTGTAGACAATCCAAAACAAATATTGCTAAAGGGGCTAATAATATTGACCTTAAAATGGTTTAAACAAAATCAAAACTGCTTTTATTTTAGCCAAAATAAAACAAATAAAACTTTGTCCAGAAGAAAAAATATTATAGGAAATACTGTAAAAATTTCCTGAATCTGTTCATCATTTGGAAAACCACATCATTTGGGGACATCTATAAGCGCAGTGTATTAACTGTAAACCTGCTACACGCTCAATAATACTCTAAGGTAAATGTGAAAGTCAGGCAAAATCCAGCTTGTTCTTTACATCCACTAAAGCATAGAGCAGCTTCACGATGCCAAGAAACACAGAGACGACACAAGAGTCTGACCGCAAACTCAAAGGCATCTGCGCTCTTTAACGAGATCAAACTGGATCCATGTGACCCTCGCTGTGACAGAAACACACACTCTGACTTACCGGCCGATTATGAAATGGGGCAAAGCGATGAGAAACGTCCCGAGTGACATCAACAGGCAGCCGATGGCGATGATTTTCGGACGGTGAAGTTTGGCACCAAAGTAACTCACAAAGGCGATCACTAACAAGTTGCCTAGAAAGATAGCAGGAGAGCTGGTTAGACTAGCCATGTTTATATACACATACACTGTAAAATATATCTGTTAATTAACTGTTTGCATATTTTGTAACATTTTCTGTTTATTTAGGGTTATGAATTGCATTATGGGATGTTGATCTCTGCTCTGTAGATGTTGAAAATTCAACTCAACTGTTTAACAAAGTGACTTTTAGTGACATTTATTAGTTTTAAATAATATAATGTATAAGAAATATTATTATATAGAGAAATAATTCTGTAAAATAACAGAAAATAACTTTTTTAGCATAATATATAACACCAACCCAGACAATAAATCACTTTAAACTATTCAAAATGATCTTAAAAGTCACTTTTTCCAACATATTGTAATTCAAAAGCATAAATAAACAGTGGAAAATACAAAATAAAAACATAAATCACAAAATACGTAAACCTGCTAAATTATGGATAGTTTCACAATGTATTTTTATGTGCAATTTGGAAAAAATGCTTGATGAAAATGCAAAGATGCACATAAAAACTGAGTATGATATATTTTTTATAGTTAAGAAAAATGCACTTAAACTACACTTCCGGCATGTGCATAAAAAATCATGTGATGATAAAAGTTTATTAAATGTTGTGGAACATTTGTATTTAAAGGATCCATATTACTGTAGTTCCTAGAGAGTATCCATATTGGTACCTTAAATTTGCATCTTATGACCTAAACGTGCCCATATTGTACTTTAAAGTCAACATGCACCGGAAGCTGCAGAGAGTTTTCAGTTTGTTGATGTACTTTCAACTGAAACTGAATACTAAATAGGCGGCCGGGCTTTCTTTTGCGATTCACTCTCTAAAACGCAAACTGACAGTAAGAGAGGGTACTTATATGCAGTTGCTATGTAAAGACGTCAACAGAATGCTCACCACTCCAAAACGCAGAAGCAAATGGTCACACTTTGATAATGTAGATAGTCATTATAATTTTTTTCAGGGGATTAACTTGTACGTATTTGCGTAAAGAAGACATTGTGAGCTAGCGAAATAAACATTGCAAATTTTGAAAACTCACAAAAGACAAACATCATAAAATAAAATAAACACTACAAATCAATAAAAACTACAATAGTTACTCAATAATCCTAAATATTTAAAAACAAGACTGGATCAAACTTGCCTACTGATGCAAAAAATAAAAATACAGCACAACACAATTTGTTAATCTAAATAAAATATGCATGAAAGCACAACTTTATATCATAGAACATTTCTGGGGAAATTCATTCATTCATTTATTCATTCATTTTCTTCTTACCTTGGTCCCTTTATTAATCTAGAGTTGCCACAGCGGAATGAACCGCCAACTTATCCAGTTAACTAAATTGATCGTAATGTATGTGTGTGAATGGGTGTGTATGGATGTTTTCCAGTGATGCGTTGCAGCTGGAAGGGCATCAGCTGCATAAAACATATGCTGGATAAGTTGGCGGTTCATTCTGCTGTGGTGACCCCGGATAATAAAGGGACTAAGCCGAAAAGAAAATGAATGAATGAATAATAACAACAAAAACAACTTGAGAGTTATTATCAAGTAAACATTGTAAAATAAGACTTATTTAGCGTGCACATTTCTTGCTACTGTCGCTCAACAGTAAAACCACAATATTGATTGCACATAAAACCTCCCTCATGACTGGACTAACTCTTCTGAACTCACTGAACATTCTGCTTCGCGACTGATTTCTGCATGATTGAGCTCTTTGTCTGTGAGGAACAGTTATTGGCAGAATGATTTGTCTCTGAGCTTCGGGCCTGATGAACGGAGGTCTTTGTGAAGATGGAGTTCAGGACGCTTCATGGTTTTAATGGGGACAGGAATTCTCAGACATTTAGACCATGGCTGAGGAGGTCAGGCTACGCAAAGAGAAACAACTCACCCAAACATTTAGAAAACACACACACACACACACACACACACACACACACACACACACACACACACACACACACACACTGTGGCCTTTGTTGGAAAATTGTTCAGAAAGCGATGCTAAGTCTGATGGGTGACAAAGCTGGAGAGAGAGGACTGCTAATACTGTTGTAGCCGATGAGATTGATGCTAACTCTGGCGGAGCTGGCAAAAGTGATGCTAAGTCTGATGGAGCCAGTGAGAGTGATGGTAACTCTGATGGAGACAACAAGAATCAATGTCGATCTTGAAAGGTTGTCAATACTGATGTACATGTGATTTTTCAGGTTTTTTATGTTTAATAAATTTACAACCATTTCAAAAACTCTTTTTAACATTGTCAAGATGGGGGATTGTGTGTAGAATGTTGAGGAAATCAATGAATTTAATCCGTTTTGGAATAAGGCTGTAACATAAAAACGTGGGAAAAGTGAAGCGCTATCAATATTTTAAAGATGCACTGTAGATAAATTTAAGATAAAGTGTAACATTTACACATAAATAAATTAAAAATTATTTTTCTCATTTGAAATATATTTTAATAAATGCATAAACAATAAACATATAAGAGATAGAATATTTCTATTTAAAAAAAAAAGAAAGAAAATGAAACAGCATACATATCAAAATCTATAAGATGCATTATATTTCTATTAAAATGACACCATTTATATTTCCATTATATTTATTGAACTAGACTACGATATATTATATACATTGCTGAGATCTGCCGGCCTCTTTCCTCTGCAGCTATGACCTGCTAAACATGATTTTGTTGCGTAAGCGTCTGATCTGTGGAACCACTGCACTGCAGAGCATGACTGCCGTAACATTGCAGCACACATGGAGCATCTCAGGCTTATCGGACTGTAAAACCAGAGTGTCAGAGTGAATTCCTCCTTGAATCCTCAGTTCCCAGCAGGTATTGTTGTTTTATTTTTGCTTCCAAAACATGTTTCAATATTCCACAACAAAGTTTACTCAATAATGTTCCCCGAAAGAGCGTTGCTGTGTCCCAGTTCACGTACTATCCATCCTAAAATTGTATGATTTTAGTAAGATCTGGCTGCAGATATCACAGTCTCTGTTACTATTTACCTGCACCTTTTTGTTAACACTTATTATTTATTTAGGACATGCATTTCACTTTCTAACTCCAATGCCAGATTATTAAATAGTTAAAATGCCAATAATTTAATTAAATGCTCTTAGAGAATAAAATATGATGTGTTTTTTGGAAGTTTACTTGCATTGTGATGCTATTATATGGCATTATATACTGTAATGAGTGGCATGAAATGGTCTTAACATGACAATAATATCGTTTATCACAATATATTTTGGTGCAATAAATCCTACAGCAAATAATAGATATAATGGCTGGCCTCTTCATAATAAAGGAAAACATTTCATTTCCCCCTTTCTTTACATTAGATATTCACAACTGCTAGAGGGAGCTGACGGACCCACACACGCAGCTGACGCATGAACACACTCTTCTTACCTATTTCAAAGCTGCCGTCAATGACACCTATTAAGTAACTGGGGATGTCGAAGCGTCTTTCCAGCTGAGTTATTGTGCTTTTCATATAGCTCCCGGATAAAGCCTTGGAGAAATAGGCGAAGGACAAGGCCACGAGGAACATCTGTAATGAAACACACAGAAACAGCATGTCAGATTAACAAAAATCCCGACAATAATCTCATATCACGGTCATCAGAAGTCATTTAATATCCTAATTATGACACACTGTTGAAGTCATAATTGTTAGTCCTCCTATGAAAATGTCAACACAATTTTTAATTTGTTTTAATTGACTCCCCTTTGGTGATGTTGGGGGCTGTTTGTGCCCCATTGACTTCAATTATAATCACATTTTTAATCTCGTTTGTGTGTAATCATTATTCAAGTTTAACCGTACGGCAGCATTTGTTGTACTGCAATTGTTTTGTCATTGTCTTTTATTATTATTAATCAGGTAAAGGCTTTTAATAAGCCTTTTGAGCAAGGAATTTCCACAGTATCTCCTAAAATGTTTTCTTCTTCGGGAGAAAGTCTTGTTTGTTTTATTTCGGCTGGATTAAAAACAGTTTTTAAGACCATTTTAAGGTCAATATCATTAGCCCTCTTAAGCAGTATTAGTTTTGGATTGCCTCCAGAACAAACCACTGTTATTTAATGACTTGCCTAATTACCCTAACTTTACCCTAATTACCCTAATTAAGCCTTTTAATATGATACGTTAAGGTGAATACTAGTTTTTTGAAAAAAATATAGTCAAATATCAAAAAATATAAGCAGGGGGGCTAATAATTCTGACCACAACAGTATATCATCATGTTGCACAGCCCAGCGCCCGTCAGACGCTGCAACTCTCCCTCATTAACCTATTTTTAAACATGGGAGCAACTCTTCATTAATATGCATTTAAAAATGGGAGAGATGGAGAGATGAGGAGCGGGCGCATTTCTCCGACCGCAGTGCATTATGGGTAGTGGGGACAAAAAGCGGATTAGGAGAGCTTATGTCACGCTCTTGAATTGAAGCGCAGTGACTTAAGCCTGCATATGAGCCAAACATGAGGAAACATGAGCGTTTGCTGATCATCTGTTGCTCAGGGTTCCGGGAATAAAGAAATCAGCAGCATTCGCAGAGGTTTGTGGGGTTTTCCTGTAAGCGTGAACACTCACTGCACACGAATTAATAATCAGAGATGGACGGAGACCATACTGATGCCTTTTGATGATCAACCCCCCAGCCATTTCTTTTAACTACATATATAAAGAGGATTTTAAATGATTATATATTTAAAATAATGCAATTTACTAAATTTTAACGTAATAAATGCATGCTTGTTAAAAATAAAAGGCCATTTCTGAAATTATTAACAGATCCACAACCAAAAATTATCAATATATTACTGATATATAAATCAAATAAATGCAGGCAAGACATTATGAACTGAACCAAAACTCAAAAATGCATTACAGATTTCTTTAATAATAATATTAATAATGATGGCGATTGGTGATGATGATGATGATGATGACGTTGTTATTTATTTATTATAATTATTTACTATTGTTTATTATTATTATTATTATTATTATTATTATTATTATTATTATCCTAATCACTGATCATAATAATAATTAAATAATTTATTATTGTTTTTATCATTATTATATTTGTACATTTTAACGTATTTATTATAATAATTTATACAATAATAATATAATACTAATAATACTACTACTACTAATAATAATATTAATAATAATGATAATGGTGATACTTATGAGGTTATTGTTACCATTAACAATATTAATCATATGTATTATTATTATTATTATTAAATTATTTATTTATTATAATGATTTACTATTGTTTATTATTATTATTATTATTATTATTATTATTATTATTATTATCATTGATCATAATAATAATTCAATAATTTATTATTGTTTTATCATTATTATATTTGTACATTTGAATGTATTTATTATAATAATTTATATAATAATAATAATATAATACTAATAATAATACTACTACTAATAATAATATTAATAATAATGATAATGGTGATACTTATGAGGTTATTGTTACCATTAACAATATTAATCATATGTATTATTATTATTATTATTAAATTATTTATTTATTATAATGATTTACTAATGTTTATTATTATTATTATTATTATTATTATTATTATTATCATTGATCATAATAATAATTCAATAATTTATTATTGTTTTATCATTATTATATTTGTACATTTGAATGTATTTATTATAATAATTTATATAATAATAATAATATAATACTAATAATAATACTACTAATAATAATAATATTAATAATAATGATAATGGTGATACTTATGAGGTTATTGTTACCATTAACAATATTATTCATATGTATTATTATTATTATTATTATTATTATTAAATTATTTATTTATGATAATAATTTACTATTGTTTATTATTATGTTATAAAAACATTAATTATAATATTTTAAAATTTGTATTTATTTATTATAAATATTTACTATTGTTTATTATTATTATTATTTTTATTATTATCATCATTGATCATAATAATAATTAAATAATTTCTAATTGTTTTTATCATTATTATATTTGTACATTTTTAATGTATTTATTATAATAATTTATATAATAATAATAATAATAATAATAATAATAACAATAATAAAAATGGTGATACTTATGAGGTTATTTTTATTGTTACCATTAACAATATTAATCATATGTATTATTATTATTATTGTTATTATTATTATTATTTAATTATTTATTTACTATAATAACGCATTATTGTTTATTATTATATTATAATAATATTATAATATTTAAAAATGGTTATTTATTTATTATAATAATTTAATATAATACTACTACTACTTTTACTACTAATAATAATAATAACATCAGCCACAGTTAGTCTTATTCAGAATAAGGTAAATGACGAGTACTGGTGTTCATGTAAACACAGATCTACTTCCTGTCATCAAGAATGAATTATTAGACAGTAATAAACTCTCAAGCTCCTGTAAACAATCTGACGTCTGTTTGAAGCACTAAATCAATCAATAGATTAGGCAAGCATGCTGTTTTCACAAAGCCTCAAGAGTTCAGCGTCTGTGTCCTTCATTTAACACAGTTAGCACCGCTTTGTTGTGGGTCACGCAAACCCGTGCTTCATCCACTGGGATGCAACTCACTTTTCAGGAAAATCTGAAGAATCTCTAAGCTACAGAGCGATGCATGCTGGGATTTGCATGAATGAGAAGTTCTAAACTACTCATTCTTTCATTTTATTAAAGCTTAGTCTCTTTATTCATTAGGGGTCGCCACAGCAGAACGAACCACCAACTTATCCAGTATATATTTTATGCAGCCGATGCCCTTCCAGCTGCAACCCAACACTGGGAAACACTCATACACACTCATGCATTATGGCCAGTTTAGTCCATCAATTCCCCTATACCGCATGTGTTTGAACTGTGAGGGAAACTGAAGAAACCCGGAGGAAACACACGCCAACACGGGGAGAACATGCAAACTCCACATAGAAACGCCAAAATTACCCAGCTGAGACTCGAACCAAGCTTCTTGCTGTGAGGCAAATAAATAAATAAATACAAAAACTCACATTTCTGGAAAATCTAAACCATATTTCTGAGCTACAGAGCAATGCATGCTGGGATTTGCAGGCAGAAGTTGAGTATCTAAAGAACTATTATGTAAAAGAGACAGAGAGAGAGAGAGAGAGAGAGAGAGAGAGAGTAAACAGAAGAAAATGTGGCAGAGCACAGCATTCGCTCGTGACGAGACGCTCAGAATAGAAACAGATGACAATCATCTGTCCAAACAACAACACACAACATTACTGAACACACTCACACAACTGCAGCAGTGACTGAGCCATGTGTACTGTTCATTCACTTCACTCTGGTATTAGGTTTATAGTGTATTGTTCCTTTATATATATATATATATATATAATTTTTTTTTTTAAACCATGTAACCTCAAAGTTTAGCACAACACTTAAGCAACTAGCAATAAAATAAATAAATTAATAAATATATATGCAGAAATATCTGAAAATATATCATTTTATTTTATATTTTATTTTATTATATATATTTTTTATTTTAAAATGAATTTTGTTTCTAATTATGTCTAATTATTTCTGTTGTAAGTTCATAATTATGTATTTAATTCATTAATGTTATTTATGTTATTAATGTTATTAATTAAGCATGTAAACTGATTTTATTTCAGTTTAAATTAAACAGAAAATGGATATAAATAATTGTATAATGTTGTATAAATAGTTTTATAGACATTCATTTCATATTTGTGTGTGTGTGTGTGTGTGTGTGTATATGTATGCGTGTATGAGTACATGTGTTTGTGTCTGAGTGTATGATTGTGTATGCATGTTTCTGTCTGAGTGTATATTTTGTGTATGAGTGTGTTTGCATGTGAGTGTATATGTGTGTACATGTGAGTGTGATCGTACATAAGTGTGTATGAGTGTGTGTGCATGTGTGTGTATATACTGTATGCATGAGTATATGTGTTTGTGTGTCTGAGTGTATGTAACAGTGTGTATGAGTGTGTGTGCATGTGTGTGTATATACTGTATGCATGAGTATATGTGTTTGTGTGTCTGAGTGTATATGTGTGAATGTGTTCATGTGTGTGTATATACTGTATGTATTTGTGTACGACTGTAAATGTGGGTATTTATGAGTGTATATGTGTGTATGTATGAGGGTATATGTGTGTGTAAATGTATGTGCATGCGAGTGTATCCACTGTATGTGTGTGAGTGTGTATGTGTTTGTGCATGTGAGTGTAAGTGTGTGTCTGTGTGCATGCATGTCAGCGTATATACTGCATGTGTGTGTGCGTGTGTCTGTCATAGTCTAAGGCTCATCATAAATCTCCAGCTGTACAGTGGCACGCTGCTCATCTGTTTAGATCACATTACACGTGGACACAGTAATCCGAGTGCCGGCCAACAGAAGCACGTGTTCACGGAGGCCCCCGGCTGCTGTTCTGAGATCAGCTCATTCACACTCACACACTCCGCATGAGATCC